AAGCACTCATTTGGGCGTTCTCTGGTACCTTCTATCCCAGGACTTCTAGGGATGCCCGCGGATCGCCCTGTGACCCCCTCACCTCGGCTGCATTGATCCAGGCCGGATCAATCCTCCAGAAAAGCGACATCCGCCCTCGCCTACCCAGGGAAAACCTGTCTCCCGACGCCTGTGAAAAAATGGCACCCTCTGACAGACACGGCGCATGCGCCCGCGCTCACACCCAGAATGCAGCGCGCACTCCACGGGGGTCTAACTGCGTCCCAGAGTTGCGCAGTTGGCCTTTTCGCAAGTGCGCAGGCGCCGGAGGTGTCAGCCGAGCCCGTCAGGCTGCGCTCAGACTGCGTCTTCAGGCAGGAGGTGGCGGGTAGCACGTGCTTGTCATGGAACCACAACGGGGCTGGCCTCCTGATCAAGAGAACCAGATCCCGCATAGCTGACCACAGTTCAAATCCTGGTCACGCTTGATGCATGTGCATATGCGTGCCCCAAATCTCAACAGGATTGAGAAATGGAAGAGAAGGAATTGCGGCATGACCATGCCTCCGCGGAGGTGCATTCTTTAAGCTTTTAATTTGCTATAGGGTAGTGAACTCCGCAGAGAGGCAGAGAGAGAAAGCGAGAAATCATGCCCCCCCCTGCCCCCGGGGAGGAAAGAAGGTGTGGGGGCGGGAGAGGGGGAGCCACGCTGCGGAAGTCCCTTCTCCTCTCAGGAATTTGAGCAACCACGGATACACACCCAGCATGTTTTTTGTTGTTGTTGAGAGGATTTTGCTATAGGGCGCATGCGCTTGCCAGAAAGACAGAGACAGAGACAGAGAAAGCCAGAAATCACCCTCCAGGGGTGATGGCCACGCCACAATCCCTTCTCCTCCATTCTCCTCTCGGGATCTTGGGCACGCACGCACACGCGCCAAGTGTGAGTTTAAGCCACCAGGTCCGGGACTCGAACCACAGTCTACTACATGGGAGTCCAGCGACATAGCCATTATGCTAACTGCTGGTCCCAAATCTTTATTTTTTTAAAGCAATTTTTGCTATAGGGCACATGCGCTCGCCAGAAAGAGAGAGAGAAAGCGAGAAATCACCCCCCCACGGGGGATGGCCATGCTGCAATCCCTTCTCCTCCATTCTCCTCTTGGGATCTTGGGCACGCACGCACAGGCGCCTGGCGTGAGTTTAAGCCACCAGGTCTGGGACCTGAACCACTGTTGACTACATGGGAGTCCAGCGACATGGCCATTACGCTAACTGCTGGTCCCTACTGTATATAATCTTATGATAGCACTGGAGTCAATGAGGCCAACACATGCAGGCCTTTCTCCTGTAACATTTACTCACCTTATTTGCTCAAGTTAAGGGGGGCAACCGCACTGTCCACTCTGAAAATGTCCAGATTGTTTCACATGAAAGTTAAAAATTAGAGTCAAGGGGCCAGCAGGTGGCATGGTTGTTAAGGCAACGGATTCCCACATGGCCAATCTTGGTTCAAGTCCTGGACCTGCTGGCTGGCTTTCTCACTTTCCCTCTCTCTGTTTCTGTCTCTATCAAATTTTAAAATAAACAAAATTTGGGACCAGCAGTTGGCATAATGGCTATGTCACAGGACTCCCATGTAGTTGACCATGGTTCGAGTCCTGGACCCCGTGGCTTGAATTCACACCAGGCACATGTGTGTGCGTGCTCAAGATCCTGAGAAGAGAATAGAGGAAAAGGGATTGCAGTGTGGCCATCCCCACTGGGGGGTGATTTCTCGCTTTCTGTCTCTCTGTCTTTCTGTCTGTCTCTGTCTTTCTGGTGAGCACATGCACCCTATAGCAAAAACCTCTCCAAAAATAAATAAATAAAGTTAAATAAAAATAATTCCTTAAAAAATCAGAGTCAAGAATTCAATCATTTACCATCTAAATGTCATTTGTAGATGGGGACTGCACTACACATCATAAGTAAAGAAAATCTAGTAAAAAAATTACTTTCAGGGACAGCTAGTAGTGTGGTAGTTAAGGTGGCTGTGCTGTTCGAGTCCTGAACCTGAGAGCTTCAAGAACACTCCAGGCACATGTGCATGCACATGCACACCCAAAATTCCCAAAAGGAGGGAAGGATGGAGAAGGGATTGCAGTGTGAACATTCCCCAGGGAGGGGTGGTGCTTTCTCACTGTCCTTTCTCTGCTCTCTACAGTGAGCATTTGTGCCATCCAACAAAATGTGCTAATGAAGAAGGAAATAAGAAAAGGAACCAGCAGGTGGCGTGGTGGTTAAGATGCTGGACACTCCCACATGGCCGACCATGGTTCGAGTCTTGGACCTGGCAGCTTGCTTTCTTTCTCTTTCTTTTTTCTGTCTCTGGTGAGCTCATGTGCCCTGTAGCATATTAAAAAAATAATAATGATGAGATAAATTCTTTAAAAAAAAATACAAGAAAAATAACAAACGAAACCCCTGGTTTTCACATGGCCAACAGGATGGCCCAGGAGATCCTCCCTGACCTCCATCAGCCATCAAGGCTGTGCCAGTTGCAGGGCTTCATCTCCTTCCAACTCTAATCCTTGGGCTTAATTCCAATGACTCCTTCCTCTATGACCCACCCCAGAGTGCACCAGAAATTCAGGACTTGCCTCTGCCTGCTGGCAAGCCCGCAGCTACAGGCCACCTACCTGCCGAAGGGCTGGAACCTCCTCCACCAGCCCTCCAAGATTCCTCTTCCTCAAGGCCCAGCCTCCTTGAGGCTGGATCAGGGCATAGTTGGCTCTCTGCAGGTGAAAGGCCTGCTCTTGATGGCTTCTCTAGACAACTGTGCCAGGGCCCGAGAGGACAGAGGAGTAGAGTAGGAGGTAGGGGGGAAGGAGTGATGGATAAGGCGAGGACAGTGTCTAGTCTGGTGTGAGGATTCAGGCCAGTGGATGAGCTTCCCACTGAGCCTGGGGCATGCTGAGCCAGGGCTTACAGACCTATGTGAGACGTATATTCTAGTCCCCTCCAAAAAGCAAACAAAAAGCCCTCAGTCATGTGTGACCTGAGTTTTAGTGGGTGGCATTTTAATGGCTGTTGCTGATTGTAGCAGCAAATGGAGGGGAGGGTTTGTCTGCCCCGCCTGCAGAGCAGGGGACTGGGGCTCAGAAGACTGCACCCCAGTGGGTCTAGCTGTCCTTTTTCCACTGGACGGAGGCCAGGAAGGTGCGGATTTCCATGGGTTGCAGTGTGACAGCGGCCGGGTCCAACACAGGAGCAGCAGGGTAGGGGGTGGGACCTGGGGAGGTGCAAGGGAGGGGTGAGGGGGTGCATGGACACTGCCTTCGTACCCCCAAGCCGATCCCAGAAGTGATAGACACCCTTGCATAACTGGATGCTGATGACGACTCTCTGATCTTGTTCCTGGGTCTAAAATCTCTCCCGCGAACCTCAAGACCCAATGCTACTTTGCGGGACCCATTTCAGATCCTTCAGCCCCTAACCTAGGCACGACCCTTTAAACTGTATAATGGGTCCCAGCAAACATTCCCAAGCCTCGTGTACCGCCCCCAGCTGCCATCCCAGTCAGCTCCCCACCGGTATCTGATGTCCACTTGAGCCTGGAGGCGCTGGCCCGGGGCTGGTTGGCCGCCAGCGTGGTTTCCTGCAGGCGCGTGATGGTGAAGGCGGAGAACAGGTTCTGCGGGCAGTGGAAGGACCTGGCTGAGTCAGGGACAAAGCAGGGTTTCCCCCTCCCCTCCCTTTCTTGTCTGCTTCTCACCCCTGCTCTCCTCACCTGCAAATCCACGGTCACGGGGGAGCTCAGGTTGCGGTTCGAATCCTCCCCCACTGCAAACTGGTGCTCCAAGCGCAGCAGCAGCGTGTCCGGGCCCCAGCGGGCCAGTGTGAGCAAGTGCACGGAAGGCGGCAGCTCCCTTTGCAACCCTGAGAACTGCGGGAAGGAGCGGGGCTGAGTGGAAAGGGGTGGGCATTGGGCTCCCAGGGGCGGGGCTTAGTCCTGCTCAAGCAACAGAGTGGGATGACTGAGTGGGGGTGGTTATCAAGGGAGAGGCGGAGCTCAGCCAAGAAGCCCACTAAGGCCATGAAAGGGAGGGATGAGGCAAAGAGAAGGATGGGGTAGTCAGTTTGGGGGGAAGGTCCGAGCCTGGAAGGGGCTGAAATGATTTATTCTGACACAGGACGGAGTTAGAGGCTGAGACAAAGGACACGCTAAGCTGGCCAAGGGAGGGCCAGGTCTGGGAAGGGGTGGGGCTAGTGAGAGGGGCGGGGCCAGGAGGGGCAGGCGGGTGAGAGGGCGGGGCTAAAGCAATATGGTGCGGGTCCCGGTGGGCCAGGGCTATGTTGGTGAGTAGGTGACAAAGCTAGGATAAAGTGAAATGAGACAGGGCAGGCAGGCCAGAAGGCGGAGCTAGCGATATGGGGTGGAGCTAAACAGGTCAGAGGGTGGAGGAAAAGCAAGATGGGCGTGGCTAGGCAGAATGGAGATGACCAGGTGAGGGCGGAGCTGAAGTGAGATGGGTGGGGCTAGGTAGGCCATGGGGTGGAGCTAAAATAAGATGGGCGTGGCTAAGCAGGCTGGGAAAAGTAAACAGGGAGGGCGGAGCTAAAGTCAGGTGGGTGGGGCTAGGCAGGCTATGGGGCGGGGCTAGGCAAACCAGCCTGGGGAGGTAGGAGGGGCAGAGGGAGAGCCAAAGCAGAGGTGTTGAGGTCTGGTGGAGTTCAAGGGGGCGAGCTGGGTCTGTGCTCCAACCCAGTTCAGGGTAGTCGGGATTCTGCCAGCGCCAGGCAGAGCTGGGGCTGAGCCCGGAGGGCGGGACTAGCTTATGGCCTCCCCGGGCATTTAGAAGCTGGTGAGGTGGGTTCGGCTGGGCCTAGGAAAGCCCTCACTCAACCCCGCTCCCTGCAGGCTTCATTCTGTTCTTTCTTTCCGCCCGCCCCAACGTGCTCACCTGCGTGCGCGGGGCTACACCAGGTCGGTAGGGGGCACCGCCACCTGTGGCCAGCACCACCTGGGGGGCCAGGATTTCCTTCTCTGCCAGGAGCCGGTGCCCAGCGGCCGCAACCTGGGCCTTGTCGAGCAGCACGAGGTGACGTCCTCGCACCCACACGCCTGTTCCCGACTCCAAAAGAGGTTCTCCTACTCCGCGTCCATCATCTCTCAGCAGCCGTCGGTGCACCTGGGGGCAGAAGGGCCAGGAGCGCGTGAGGGTCCAGGGCGTAGCCAATTAGCTAAAAGCTTGTGGGAATTCCAAGAGAACTTAAGGGATGGAGAGAACGGATGAAAATGAAGGTAAGGGTCTGGTAAAGAAGCCCCCACCCCAACAGAAGAGGCCTCCAACCTGGCAAAGGGACCAGGGACCAGGACAGAGGCAGGGTGGTAGGTACCTACTTCCAATAGGGCACCCCTGATAGGAGAGTTCAGGGCCTGGCCCAGACCTGGCAGCTTGCTTTCTCACTCTCCCTCTCTCTCTGTCTCTCTCTGGTCATATTAAAATAATAACAAGGAGTTGGCAGGTGGTGTGATGGTTAAGGCACTGGAATGCAACATGGCTGACAACGGTTTGAGTCCCGGATCTGATAGCTTGCATTCTCACTCTCGCCATCCCTTTTTCTCTCTCTCTCTTTTTCCCGTAAAGTTAAACAATAATAATAACAAATGAAAAAAAAATTTTTTTGGAGAGGTTTTCACTGAAGGGCGCGTGCGCTCGCCAGAAAGATAGAGAGACAGAAAAAGAGAAATCACCCCCCAGGGGGGATAGTCGTGCTGCAATCCCTTCTCCTCCATTCTCCTCTGGGATCTTGAGCACACACGCACACGTGCCCAGCGTGAGTTTTAAGCCACCAAGTCCGGGACACAAACTGCGGTCGACTACGTGGGAGTCCAGTAACATAGCCATTACGCTAACTGCTGGTTCCAAGTAATTATTTTTTAAAAATGAAATAAATCAAATAATCCTTTAAAAATTATTTTAAAAATAAAAATAATACTAATTTTTCTTTAAAAAAAAAGTAAAAAAGACGGAGGGAAAGTCCCATGGAAGGATGGAATTCTCAGCAGGGGGATCCACTATCAGAGAACTGGGACAGAAACAGCCTCAGGGAGCAGCAGCAGGCCAAGGTGTAACCTGAGCCTTAGTGAAAGGCCTGCTCACTGGAGAGAAACCGGAGGTAGAGACAAAGTGAGAGAGCACCCTCCTAGGAGGATGGCCATGCCACAATCCTTTCTCTTCCATTATCTCGGAATTCGGGGCACGCTTGCACAGGTGCCCAGGAAATTCTTATTTCCTTTTTTTTTTTTTTTTTTTTTAGGTTTTTGCCTGGGGAATGTGCACTCACTGAAGAGAGAGACAGAGACAGTGAGAGGGACAGTGAGAAATCACCCTCCAGAGGGGATGATCACACCACAATCCCTTCTCCTCCATTCTCCTCTTGGGATTTTGGGCGCGCACACATGCCTGGTGTGAATTTCAAGCCTCCAGGACCAGGATGTGAACTGTGGTCGGCCATGTGGGAGTCCAGCACCTGAAGCACCACGCCACCTGCTGGCCCAGCTGTGGTATAGTCATGGTGGGAGGCCCCTGGCTTGACTGCGACGCTGCCCCACTCACCATGAGCTCCAAGGAGCCGTCTCTCAGGCTGCTGCCCCCCTGGGAGCGGTCGGTCAGCACGGTTAGCTGCACGTTCTCGTCCTGGGGGTGAGAGGTGAGAGTGAGGGACAGCCCAGCCAGGAAACGGGGAGATGCCGCCGGTGAGGGGTGACTCCCCATGAGTAGCAGTGGGAGGAGCAGGACAGGAAAGGGGTACCGTGATGTAAATCCGGCTGTTGACTGGGTAGTAGTTCCCTGCCACAGGCTCTGTCTGGTTCAGGGTCCAGGTGGGCCGATAATCCCGCCTGGGGTGGGGTGCGATGGAGTCAGGCTTGAGGTCCCCGCCCCATTCCTCACTTCCCATTCACCTCCTCCCTCCGACACTCCTATCCACAAATGCCCCCCGGGGCCCCAGCACACCACAGACCACCCCTTGGTGCCCGGGTCACCCCACCTCCTCTGCAGGATCTCCCGGCCGTTACTATCCGTGTAGAAGAGGCCTCGGGTCTCCAGCGGCGTGTCAAAGCGGCTGATGACCTCCTTTCCCCAGCCGTCACTGTCCCCGACGGGATGGCACAGGCGTGAGTCTTGTCCGCACTCCGCTCTGTCCTCGTCCCCACGCCCCAAACCCAGCCTGTGTCACTCACCCCACAGGGATCGGCCCCACTGTCCACTCCAACTCCAGGTGCCGCTGCCCTGGGTATAGACGAACCACCTGGGAACACCAGGCTGAGAAGTTCTGGTGGACTTCCTGCACCAAGGCCGTCTGCAGGTGCGCACGTGGGGGTGGGGAAGGTGGGTGTCAGCCATGCAAGGTCCCTCGGCCCCATGGGAACCCCACCAAGACCTACCTAACAGCAGAGGGACCCCACCCACCTTCCCGACTGCTAGGCACGATGCACTTGCTACAGAAAGAGCGAGGGCAAAAGTGAGAAAGCTTCCCCTAGGGGTGATGGCCACAGTGCAACCCTTTACATTCCCCCCTTGGGATTTTGGGCGTGCGTGCACACATGCCCGCCATGTTTCTCAAGCCACTGGGTCTGGGACTCGAACTGCACAGTAGGCCACGTGAGGTCCAGTCACCTTAACCACCACACTACCTGCCAGGGTCCCCACCTCCAACCTGCAGAGCTAAACAGGACCCTCACACCCACGGCAAACATGGATTCCTCCTAATGTGCTTTCCTGGGAGTGTCCCATCCATCCAGCCGTGAGTATCAGCCCTGGTGTGATGGTTAAGGCACTGGATTCTCACATAGCCAACCACAGTTCGAGTCTTGGACCTGGCGGTATGCTGTCTCACTTTCTCCCCTGTCTCTCTGTCTCTCTTTGGTCAAATAAAATAATAAATAATAGTAAATAAAAGGTATTAAATAAATAATACTTTTTTTTTTTTTAAGAGAGAGAGTTTTGCTAGAGGGCATGTGCACTCGCTGGAGAGACAGAGACGGAAAGCAAGAAATCGGAACTTGTTTTCCCCAGAGCTAGCCTGAGCAAGCGGAACCTGGTGTCGTACTTGTGACCTTAGGAGCCAGAGTTCTTGGCCCGCTTCAAGGAGAAGGTTGGCTACCCAGAAGGCGCCATGGTGGAGACCAAGAGAATTCAGCCTCAGCTCCCAGATGAGGATGGTGATCACAGTGACAAAGAAGACAAACAGGGACCAGCGTTGGCATAATGGCTACATCGCTGAACTCCCATGTAGTCGACTGCAGTTCAAGTCCCGGACCCGGTGGCTTAAACTCACGCTGGGTGCGTGTGCGTGCGTGTCCAAGATCCCAAGAGGAGAATGGAGGAGAAGGGATTGTGGCGTGGCCATCCCCTCTGGGGGGGTGATTTCTCGCTTTCTGTCTCTCTTTCTCTCTCTGTCTTTCTGGCAAGCACACATGCCATATAGCAAACAAACAAAACAAAAGAAAACAAAACCTCTCCAAAGATGAACAGCCCCAAGTGGTGGTCTTAAAAAAGGGAGACCTGTCCGTTGAAGAAGTCATGAAAATTAAAGCAGAAATAAAGGTTGCCAAAGCAGATGAAGAACCAGCTTCAGTTGATGGAAGAATTATGTATCGAAAACCAGTCAAGCATCCCTTGGATAAAAAATACTCAGGTTTGTCGGCCAGCTCCAAAAAGAAGAAAACAAATGCGGATGAAATGAGTAAGCAGGACTCAGTTAGAACTCACAAAAGCAAATAAAAAACAGTAGACTTGGGACCAGCAGTTAGTGTAATGGCTATGTCGCTGGACTCCCATGTAGTCGACCGCGGTTCACGTCCCGGACCCGGTGGCTTGAAACTTACACTGGGCACGTGTGCGTGCGTGCCCAAGATCCCGAGAGGAGAATGGAGGAGAAGGGATTGCGGCGTGGCCATCCCCCCTGGGGGTGATTTCTCGCTTTCTGTCTCTCTGTCTCTCTCTGTCTGGTGAGCGCACGCGCCCTACAGCAAAAACCTCACAAAAGCAAATAAAAAACAGTAGCCTTCTTTCGTTCAACAATGCAGATGGAAACGAGTAAGTGTAAACGTTTTGGGGTTAGTCTTCTTCGGAAGTAAATGGGGTATTTTTAAAAGTTTTTTAAGATTTATTTATTTAATTCCATTTGTTATTGTTATTTCTTGCCACAGGGTGGGTGCCACTATGTCCCTTGTTATTGTTATTTTTAAATTTGAACAGAGAGAGAGAAAAAGGGAAAGCGAGAAAGCAATCCACCAGGTCCAGGATTCAAGCCATGATGGACCATGTGGGAATCCAGCGCCCTTATCTACCACACCACCTGCTGGTCCCAGTAAATGGGGTATTTTTTAAAAATAACTTTTTTCCTGAGTATTTTTAAATAAAATTTTTCCCCTGTTACAAAGATACTACAAGTCCACTGTAGAAAACTTAGAAAATATAGAAAATTCAATAAAGCAAAAATTGTGCCTATCCATCAATACCACTCTGCCTTGAAATGCCTACCCTGTAGAAGCTCACTATTATCAGTCTGTTTTATTTCCTGACTGTGAGTGTGTATGTATTGTAAGTTATTATATTTTTTTTTAGAGGTTTTTCACTATAGGGCGCGTGCGCTCGCCAGACAGACAGAGACAGAGAGACAGAAAGCGAGAAATCACCCCCGAGAGGGGATGGCCACGCCGCAATCCCTTCTCCTCCATTCTCCTCTTGGGCACGCACACACACGCGCCCGGCGTGGGTTTTAAGCCACCGGGTCCAGGACGTGAACCGCGGTCGACTACGTGGGAGTCCAGCGACATAGCCATTACGCTAACTGCTGGTTCCCTAAGTTATTATATTTTTTAAACAAATTAAGATTGTATGAAATATATACTCTGTCCTGCTTCTCACTTGACATTACATTATATTTTTCCAGGTCATTAAATTAAAAACAATCTGCGGACCAGCAGGTGGCGTGGTGGTTAAGGCACTGGACACTCCCACATGGCCAACCGCAGTTTGAGTCCCGTATCTGGCGGCTTGCTTTCCCACTTTCTCTCTTCTCTCTCTGGTCAAATGAAAATAAATAAATGAATAAAAAAAATGAATGAATAGATAAAATTGAATAAATAATTCTTTAAAAAATAAAATAAAAACAATCTAAAAAAAAAAGAAAAAAAGAAAGCAAGAAATCACCCCACAGGGGGGGATGGCCACACCGCAATCCCTTCTCCTCCATTCTCCTTTCAGGATTTTGGGCACACATGCACATGCACCCAGCATGAGTTTTAAGCCACCGGATCCAGGACTCAAATTGTGGTTGACAACGTGGGAGTCCAGTGACATAACCATTATGTCATCTGCTAGTCCCTAAATAAGTAATTCTTTTTTTTTGGAGAGATTTTTGCTATAGGGCGTGTGCGCTCGCCAGACAGACAGAGAGAGACAGAGAGATATAAAGCGAGAAATCACTTCCCAGAGGGGATGGCCACGCCACAATCCCTTCTCCTCCGTTCTCCTCTTGGGATCTTGGTCACGCATGCACACGCACCCAGTGTGAGTTTTAAGCCACCGGGTCCGGGATGCAAACTGCGGTCGACTACGTGGGAGTCCAGCAACATAGCCATTATGCTAACTGCTGGTCCCAGTAATCTTTTTTTAAAAAAATTACTTATTTTATTCCATTTGTTATTATTATTATTATTATTATTTTTTAATTTGACCAGACAGAGACAGAGAGAGAGGGAACATGAGAAAGCAAGCCGCCAGGTCCAGGACTGGAACTACTGATGGCCATGTGGGAGTCCAGCGCCTTTAACCATCTGCCATCCCATAAATATTTCTTTAAAAAAAAAAATCCCCCGTGTTTATTTCCCTTATCTGAAGGAGATGTAAACCCTCCCCTCCCAGGCTTCCCGGCCGCCCCCCCACACCCACACACACCGCC